TACAGAGTTCAAATTCAAAATCTGCTGGAGAGTTTAGCTTGTTCTCTTCTCTAAGACTTGCACAGGTAAAAGATGAGGGTGCAAAGTGAACCTAGACCAGAGCCAAGTGGCCACAGAGCTAGGCAAGCTCTGACTTTTAAGGGCAGAGGAAGGAGCTTGCCGCAGATGGCTTCAGTGAGACTTCAGGAGGGATCCCCTGGTAAGATAATTCAGGATTTCTCCCAGGAGAGAGTAACCAAATCTGCCTTACTTCTCTGCATCCCAAATCTCCCTTTATCACTTTCCATGATCCCAGTGAAAAGCAAAGCAGAATGCAGGTCTTTATTTATTTCTCAAAATTTCTTCACAGATTTATTTTCACAGTGCTTGATCTAAGGCTACAGCTTCTGATCATGCTCAATATGCAGAATAATTTAATGGTCAAATCACAGCACAAAAGGATTCTGTTTTGTCTGTAAATCTACTCCTCTGCCAGGGAATAATGCAGTTGTTTTAGGGGCTTTTAAAGCTGTCTGTTACTTTCTCTGAAAACTATAGATTAGGCAGGATTTAAATTCACTAACTGAAGAAACACATGTATGCTCAGTGAAACAAGAAAAGTAGCTGTTAACTTTTTTTCTGAAGAGAAGAAAAAACTGGGTGTGACCAAGATTTGGAGAACAACTTCAAAAGCCCATTTCCCACAACAATACATATTTGATAGCCTTGTTTAATTTTCTGGACTTTCAGCTTTTGCTGCCTTAAAAAATCATCACTGTCTAGCAGCTCTGGTGACTTCAGACACACGAATCAAGTCTGCCAGGATATGGAGAGATCTGCAAGGTGAGTCTCTAATAAATGTCTGAGCAAACTTCTCTACCCAACCCTTTGAAGTGTTGAATGTTAGCCCCCAGGAATTAATGCTGACTTACCCATGCTAACTTTTCTACCACTCCTTAGAGACAAGAGAAAACAGACAAATTCTGTGAATTTCATTCCCTCTGATGATAGCCATTTGTACCCCCTCCCTTGATTCTTGGTCCCTTCCCCTCCCCAAACGTTCATGGAGCCATTCCTAGAGCACACCAGAGCCTATGAAAGTGTGACCAGAGCACAGTCAAGCTCTGGAATCCCAGTGGACCAAGTCATACTTTCAATATGTGCACACTCTGGTCTGAGCAGGGACCACTGTAATGACTCATCTGCAGGGCAGGTTCTTGAAGCAGTACTTCAAAAATCAGGACCACACGTTTTTCTCAACCTGTTGATGGGTCAACCATGAGACGTTCACAAATCCAGAGAACTCTCCATGTAATTCAGCGTTTCTCCTGGACCTCTTGGAACCTCAGTACCATGTGGAAGTGTTGCAAGTTCTTTTATGTAATTTTTTTTTTAATGCCTCCTTCTTCAAACTTTGATGGAATGAATTTAGAGCAATGTGGAAAGAATGATTAACTGCAGTTTAATGAATCACAGGAAAGATTGATCCCTGGTTCCAGCTCTGGAGACGCACCTGTATCAGTCTTATTTATTTGAAGTGGTTTACCCTGTAGTTTTATAGCCAATGAACTAGAATAACCAAAATGGTTTGAAGTGTCTTATTTTGATATTTGCAGCATTTTCACCCCAATATTTTATATAAACCTTTCTCTTTGTCATGAATATATGCTGCTTAGTCCTTGACTAAAACATGTAACAGTGTGAGAGTGGAGTATTTTGCTGCTACAGACTTAGACCTTCTGAAGAGCCTAATCAAAACCAGATTTTTTTCCTTTAATTGGAAAAGAAATGAGTGTTTTGCACTACACACTAGCTAGTTAGTGCTATCATAAGCAGCCCCCTATTAATCACGTACCATTTTTTGCAGCTGTGTACAGTAACTGACCTGCCTAGATACACTATAACTGAAGCAATTAAGGATCTTTTGTATTTTTTATGTAATTACCACTTCTGAGCTAGGTTGCTAAATACTTGGGACATTTGGGGTTATAATTTCAAGGTCATTATATTTTTGTTCATCTCATTTCCTAGGAAACCTATTTGCAGACTTGCCTAAAGCATCCCAGATACTGTACATTAAAGTATGGCAAATTAATTCAATCCTACCTTCTTCCACTCAGTAGGTGCATGTCCATTTTTCCAGTGTCTAATACACAGTATATTTTTAAATTGTAAACTATTGCATGTTTTAATGATGCAAACAATGGAGAGACCAAATAAGCTAAAAGAGCTAACACATTTATCTCTACATTCTGCCATCTGTTTGAAACTGCTGATGTAATTCCAGTTTTAAATTACATTAGATCCTGCCTTCTGGACCCCTTTCCCTATTTACTTTTTTTTTTATTTTTATTTAAGCCTTTAGAGAAAGCAGTGCCTTCAGGTTGTTGACTACATAATAAGAAGCTGTGTCTTTGACTGTTTTCAATCTAGACTTAAATTTAGGTTTCCTGGACAAAGAGGTATAGTGAAATAATAGCTTTATTTTCAAAAGATGAAATCATTCTCTGTGTACAATTTGATGAGATCTGTTTTCAGCAATAATGCTAGCAACCAGCAGATTTGTTTATATTGAAGAAACAGCAAAGATTAAGGTTTGTGTTCTTGCATATTCTATTGTCTAATGATGGAATTCCAGTTTTATCTCTGTGCTTATGCTTCAGAATTAGTTGAATTTCTTTTATGTAACCTCTTCCCCTTATTTTATTGGCTTAGTTAACAAACTTGCATTTTTTTTTCTTAGCAATTCCTTTGCCTTTTCAGTCCACAGTGGCAACTCTCCATTTCTCTCTTCTTCTGGCATCTTGTGGCTCAAACCACTTATTTGTCTGGATCTGATACTAATGTTGATATTTTAAGGATTTGCTTACAGGCATGTTGGTCAGGGTCTCTCTTCAGCATTACCTATTAAATACATAGCCTGATTTTTGCACAGTTATTTACATGTCTTGAAAATTCAGACTTCAAAACATTTGCATCATATAAATGATTGTATTTTGGTTTACAGTTAACTTATAAATTTTTTTTTTACTTTGTTTGCATTCATTATATACCTACAGAATATAGAAGTACTAGAGAACGGCTTTGGAGAGAAGTTGGAGTTCTATGCTAAAAAGTTTTCTGACTCCTCATTTTAATTGATTTTAAAAAAAGATATCACATAATCAAAAATTAAGAAAAAATGCATTTCAAGCTACATTTTATTCATCATAGCAAGGAAATTTTTGATAAGCATATTTTCAAAAGTCATGATAACATTTTAAGAAATTGTACAGATTTTAAGAGGATTGGAACAATTTACCCACTTAGAATTTCCAAACCATACCAGGCAAAAGTCTAAGGAAAATGTTGAAATAGATTGATTTATGATAATTTTCTAGAAAGTTCAGATTGTTAATGAAAATTACTTTCATTACAACATTTGACTAGATTTAATTTAGAAAATTCTTTAAAATTAAATGAAACCCCACACCTCTAAGCCTTTTTTTTGTTTGCTTTGGAAGGGAAACAGACACTGACTTCATTTTGAATTCAAACAAGTGATTTTATATTTCACTATCTGACTTAAAATGTAGGAAAATTGTTATTCATAAAATTTAGAAAATTTAATTAACATGAAATGTTGGTCCTCTTACATAATGGTGTCTAGGAGCTGTAACTGTTGTCTTACACAAATCTTAAATATTCTCATTGAACCAGCTTCCAGAATGGTAGCAATTTTAGTGCATCAGTCACTGATCCATGCCAGTTTCTGGTGAGGAACCTTGACCAAAGTCTCAAAATTCCTAAAGCACTGCTACCTATGAAAATATACACAGTCAGTCACTATGACTTCAGCTATCATCATGCTCAATGACAACAAAAGTCTGGTGATTGAATTGTGACAAACTTAGTATAGACTTTCAGCATTTCCGCTCCAAACACTGAAGCCAATGGTTAAACTTAAAGTGGTGGTCAGCTGTTGGGAATATGGATGACTCCCTTGATCCTTTGTCTAGGCCAGCCATCACCAGTGGTCAAAATCTGAAGCAGGTAGGTTCAGTATAATATTCCTTCTCACTCCAGCATTGCTAACATAGGTTGGATGGATATGGAAAAAGTCAGCAGGTTCCTATCAATTTTTGAGGATTAAGTCAAGCATTAAATGTTCAATTCTGGATTTTCAGATATTTCTGGATTTTCATGGTATAAAACCACGTACAGCATTTATTCATATTTTCATATAAGACTATGTTCTATGATGATTCATCTTGCTATGAAAAAAAAGTGCATAAAAGTTAAACCAGAGATGTCCAGGTATGGTAAAACAAATATGTATTTTAAATAGATCTGAAGCTGATATCACAGATTCATATAATCATAAAATGGCTTGGGTGGGAAGGGACTTAAAAGATTATGGAGTTCCAAATCAGAATCCTTGGGCAGGGATGTTTAGGGCCCTATTCAACCTAGCCTTGAACACTTCCAGGGTTGGGGCATCCACAATTTATTTGAACAAGATCTACCAGTGCCTCACCACCCTATGAGCAAAGAATTTCTTCCCAACACCTAGCTGAAATATTTCCTCTTTTAGTTTAAAAACTGTTCCTCTTGTCCTATTACTATCTGCTAACATGAAAAGATACTTTCCTCCCTTTCTAAGTGACCTTTAAGTACTGTCAGGCCCACTGAGGTCTCCCTGGAGCCTCTTCTTCTCCAGGCTGAACAACCCCAACTCCCATCCTGTCTTCACAGGACAGGTGCTCCAGCCCTGTGAACCTTTTTGTCCCCCTCCTCTGGACCTGCTCCAACAGGTCCACATCTTTCCTGGGATGAGGGCCCCAGAGATGGGTGCAGGACTCCAGGCAGGGTCTCATGAGGGAAGAGTAGAGGGTCAGAATCACCTCCCTCGACCTGCTAGCCAAATATTACCAGTTAAAAGTGGTTATGTGGGTTATATCAGCTTTCCATAGATACAGAGAGTGACATGCATCAGTGCAGGGAGTGTGGATTTTCTGCTTACAAAAATACCGCTGACTTACGGAGTCTGAGCAGTGTTTCCCAAACAAAGAGTTGACTCCACCCCAGCCTACAAAGAAAAAAATAATTGAAGTCACATTATTTCTTCAAATACTCACGATTCCAAATGTTTGGTAACCAGCTGCCTGTTGTGGTAATGCTTGTTCTTCTGCACAGAATTTGTATTCAAGACCTACATAAAATTAGTATACAAAATGAACTGAGTGAGTGATTTGTTGGAAGAAGTTTTTGTTGTGAAAATGTAATGAATATTTCATAGTTCAAATTCAAAGCAACTATAAAATATCAAGTTTTGCTCTGATGCATAAAAACAATTCATCATAACTGTTAAATACAAACCATATTCACTCATGGTATGAACCATAAATATGACAAGAAGTCCCAGAAAGTTGTAGTTATGGTTAAGAAGGAGTCTGCAGTGAATACAGCAAAATTCCTCCCAAATATTTTATATAATGCTGTGTTTCCTGATGATAGATTGCATTTCATCTGCATCAAGACTTACAAATCAGTCAGGGTCACCAAAACTCAACTGTTTTCACTGCATCCCTAAAATAATATTGTCCTGGGTTTCCTCCCAAAATCTGTCCCAAACCAGGACAAATATAACGTTCAAGTATATATAGGAATTTATTTTAAAAGTCAAAGAATATGATCTGCCAAGTCCTGCGCCAGTTTATTTGCAAGAACCTCCAAACATTTTACCCCATGCGCACAGCAGGCCTTTCATCATAGTTCCTGGTCTTATGGAGACACTTTTGAAATGACAGATCTCATGGAAGTCAAAGGAACTGTTAGTAAATTGAAATGTAACACTAATACCATGGACTGTATTTCCTCTGGAGTAAATATATGTTGTTCTTGAGATTTATGCTGCTGAAAACATCTGATACTTCTTTAGCACAATGATGCATGAGTCCATATGATAGCAAGACTAATTGTTAAACTGCACGAATAAAATGTATGTGAACAACTAATTTATTTAGTGATATTGACATCTTACATTTTTCTGCAGTTGTTTTCTTACTATTGATTTACAGAACTGCATTTCTTGAGTGGAGGCATCTGCAGCAGGTGGATGGATGGATGGTGGCCTGCTATAGGCTCTGCAGAACAGTGTTACAACCTGTGTTGTTTTACAGAAAAATGTCTGACTGTGGCATCCTCTCTTAAAGAATTGAGCTGCCTGATTTGGACATAGAAACAGAATAAAACTTTGGACAAAGAGCAGAAACCCTGTGGTTACTGTAGTGCTTTAGAGATATGATAGAAGTGAAGCTTATAGGGAGGATGAGTCTTTCAAAAAGACAAGATTCCAGCCTAAAACTCCAATCAGAAACCTTCAAAAAAATCAGCCCACTATGAAGCATGAACATGAAACATTGTTCCTATTACTGAATGAATATACTAATTTTCAAAGTGCATATGCCTGAATGTATTTACTTTAGAGGCAAGCTTTCAAAAACTCTTTGCGTATACAGCTTGATTCCAGCATTAATACAATTTGCAATGAGCTAGCTAATGAGCTTCTGGTTTTGAACAACTTGACTCTATTTACGAAAGATTAGACCCACTGAGAATCGCATTATTCTTTTTTCATAAAGTATTTGAATCTAGCAACTGTAAGGTTGCAAAATACTGCAGAACAGTCAGATTCAGAGATTATTTAATCAGTAATAAAATGTCATTGTAGGCAGCATAGCAGTACTTCCTAAATCCCCCGATGCATGGTCGGCTTATTTCATTAGAATCTGTGCTGGCTGCTCTCCAAAGATGCAGAACTAATGCTATCTGCAATTATCGGATTTTGTTAAGCACAGAGCATTCGACAGTTACAGTGTTAATGAATGAAGAATAGCTAAGCAAGCCTCTAATCCGTTGCTCATTGTTTAAAAAAAAAATTAGAGCCCAGCCCTATCATACTCAGTTATAATATGACTCAAATCAACAGAATAAATAGTTCTGCACCTTTTCTCCGTGTGAGGCAAATGTAATGCATTGCTTGCTATTTTGCAAATGAGAGGCTTTTTACTGAGAAATCCTTTGCTGAGAAATAAGTAAGATGTAAAGTTTTCTAATAAGTATGAGTATGATATCTACCTGTCACGGCCGTATTCCTGCCTGTTGCAAAAACAATCTATTGATAGGAAAAGGAGAAACTAATCTAGTCTGTCAGTAGAAATATCAGTGCCTTTTAATTAGCCCTCAGCAATTGTGAGTTATCAGGGTGTGTATTGCACTGTGTTGATAAAGCTGTGAGGGGAAAAGACTGCAGCTAATAACTAGCTCTGAGTTCAGAATTACAGCATGAATTCCGTGAAGCTTCTGGATATTGGCACTTTCCAAGAGTGATGGAGATGTGGGTCCCCTGGCAGAGAAAAAGGTGAGCTTGTATGTAACTGGATCATGGCAAAAGACTTAAAATTTGCATTTGTAATTGCCTAATATTTGATATTGCCTAATATTTGATATTCCTAATATTTGTATTTTTTGTAAATGTACACATTATATACTGTCAAATTTAAAATAAAAATATTAGTAATTCAAATACTTTCCTTAAAAATAAGAGCTGAAAACTATATTTTAGAGCATATAGAGCTACTAAAAGAATTTAATTGTCTTGGGAAACAAAAGCACCATGTGGCATTTTTTTTACAATGTGTCTCTTAACCAGACAATACTACTATTGATCAATCAAATTTAAAATATTTGTATGTTTCAAATTACATCACCATCATTAATTCTGATAGTGACAGCTAAGTTTGGCTTTCTAATGAAGCAGTCTGGTGATAAAACACAGTGGAAAAACAATGTATGTATCCTGAATATGTCCTTTTCCTGTATCTGCAGTCCATCAACCCCAATTACTCTGCTCTTTTTCCACTGATTAATAGCAGCCACAGAGAATGATATCAAAAGTGAACAGTTTGGTTACTTTTCCCCTGCAGTGTCGGTCTCCATCCTGCTGTTATCTGCTAACTGAAAACATTTTAGGCTAAAATGGGAAAACAGTTGTAGAAACATACAAGTCTTCTAGAAACCACTGGGCATCCCTTCAGACTGTGACAAAATCCCCTTCCACCCGTACTATACTATAAAAGACATCCTAGGATTTGCACTAATACTTTCCCTACTCATCTCCCCTGCCCTATTCTCCCCCAACCTCCTAGGAGACCCAGGTATGGCCATTAAGACCTGTGGCTGGTTCTCATGGATGAGAAAAATAGTTACGTTGTCTCAATTTACATTGGCAGCAGACTTTGGACAGCCAAAGTTGTCCTGCGCAGGAACCAAAACCCTTGTCATGGAGATGCATATTGGCAGGGCCATTGGTGTCCTGGAGGGTCCCCAGCACACCCCTGCCCCAGGCCCTGGCACCCCAGAACCTGCCTGGGGCCTTCAGTCCCTGCCTGAGCTCCCATCCCACAGTGCCCAGGCAGGGTGTTGTGGTTTAGGAATGCTACCCTTAAATTTAGTCCTCCCACTGAGACTCTCCCAACCATGTGTTACTTTTTTTGTCCCGCTCCCTCTCCCCTCTGCATCAGGCTGGAGAGAGGAATTAGAGGCACAAAAGGTGAAGATCAGATGGAAACAGATTAGTTGAGGTAAGAGCAGTTTACAGGAAACAGCAATGAGATAAGAAAAGGGATAAATAGTACCAGTATTAGTAACTAAGGTGTACAGAACAGAGTGATTCACATGCCAAATGCTCCCTGCAGAGCCCGACCTGACCACTGGTGCCACCCAAACTCTCCTTCTCTACCCAGCTGCTCCCCCTGACTCGGAACCAGCAGCAGCCCAGGGCTCTGTCTGCCACACTTACTCAACCAAAAGAGACTCCCACCTCCCCACCTCTGGTAATAAGGCGGCACAGAGCAACCTCCAGGTCCCAGCCATGCCCCTTCCTGCAAAAATGAGCTCTGTCCTGGCCAGAACCAGGACCCTGGGTGGGCAGGGCTGGTCTGGGGCTGCTGCTGGTACCCAGGTTGCTGAGGAGCCCTGAAGGCAAGAGGTATACACAGAGCAGCTCACCAGGGTCTGGCCTGGCAGGGAAAGCCCTTCTCCCTTCAAAAAGAAATGCAAAAGGCAACCAGAGCAAGGCTCCACCACAAGGAGCAAGAGAGGAAAAGGCAAAATCCAAGGGTGGTGGTGGCCACCCATAGTGAGCACAGTACAGTCCTGCAGTGCCTGGCCTGGCTGAGCAGAGTGCTGATAACAGGTTCATGGACAGGCACAGGTACAGCAAAGCCTGAACCACATCCACACAGGAGACACAACCACAAACAAGGCTGCAGCATGGTCCAGGATCTATCCTGGAGTCAGCTGTGCTTATGGAAGGAATGAAACTTGAGTTTAGATGGAGCTCTTTAGCCCATGGGCCAAGGAGGTGGATCAAAGTTTCAGGCCAGGCTGGACAGCGCCACTGAGGCCTATTGAACACCCAGAGTTTTGACAGATAAGCTGCTCCAAATATTAGAAAAATGTCTATGATTTGTTATGAAAGATTACTGCTTGGTAATGATTATTATACTATATTCATCCTCACTTTAATACATTGAAATATCAAGAAGTTACAAAACCATTTTTTTTGAGGTTTTTTTTAGATTGTTTTAAATGGTGCTTATAAAGCTGAATAACTTCCCTAAGTGGACATCAAAAAAATGTGAGTTTTACTATGATGGGATTTTTTTCTAAAGTCATATATTCATAGGAAAAAAGTCTGGTAGCTCAGTGATCACAGGCTAGCCCTGAAATTCAAATATTCTTTTTCTGGATTTTTTGCATTTTACCCATGCAGATTGCTGTGACTCAGGCTGTAGCTTTGGACAGCTGGCCCTGTAAACCATGGCCACAAAAGGAACTTCAGACTATCCCTAACCAAACATGACATGCACATTTTTGTGGGATGAGAATCCCTCTCTATAAATATAATAGCAAATTATAATTCTGGATGTTGTGTTGTGCCATTAAGGAGATATGTGAGGAAATGTGTAGCTCCAAAAGTAGTTGCCTTTTATCCCATTAACTAGCTCTTAAAAACACAGATGTCCTTCTTGCAATAGTACTTTAGATAGTACAATGATTCAGCTACAGTTACAAGCCCCAAATATAAAGCAGGCATCTTTAATTTCTTCAAAATTAAGAATTGAGAAGAACAAAACTTCTTTAAAGAGAAGCTCCCCAGTGAAATGTTAGTATCCATTTTCAAGAGTCATCTGATTTAGTGTTCTTGCTTTCTTCCACACTTTGGAATTGGACATCCAATCTCTGATATGGTCAAAGTTTGCTTTTTCCACATGTGATGCTGTTTACAGAATAGAGAATTTAGAACTCACCTGTAGTTTGTTACATGGCCTGAATAATCAAAATTTTCTTTAACGAAAGAATGTACACTGGCTTTTCAATTTTTTTAATAGTTTAATACTTCATTGACTATTTTTGTATCTAAAGATATAAAATAACAATCATAAAATAAAATGTTTTTAAACTGGAAAACTCTTACTAACTTTTCTAGCTCAGGCAATTCTTGGGAACTAACATAAAGCAGCAGAACCTGAAAAAGCCAGTCATTCACTGGAAGGGGCCAGATGGAATGGGTCCTGTGGAAAGATGATGATGTGTGCCATCTGCTGGGACCCAGTGCTAGAACTTTCTGAGGTAAAGCTTGGTGGCCACAGAAACTGCCTGAAACTGCACCTTATTAAATCAAAGGTAATTTTTATCAAATTGTAGCAATAAACATCAACCAGCAAAGATAGTCTGAGCAAGTTCTTCATTCTCATAGACAGCTTGAGGTTCGAAGATTGAGGCCTGGAAACCACTGCATTTCTCTGAAGGTTCAACACATCTTTTGTTACTCAGCTTCTCTCATTTTTAACCAGATTATTATCAGAAATGCCATGTTCTTCCCTTCTGAAAAGTAGAGACAGGTTTCCCTAATTCCACATAAATATTGCAGTTGTGCATTTTCAACCTTGAGATATATGATAGAAATTGTTTGATAATCAAAATATTTCAATGAATATGTGATTCAGATTGGTGCTCATGTTGTTTTATTTTTACTATTCAATTCACTGGATTAAACAGAAATGCATCATTGGAATTCAATAGAGTAATTTTACCCAAAAACTTTACTTGATGATGTATATGAAATCAGATATCACAGAGAAACATACAATTTCATCCAGGCAACCAAAGCAGCTCGAATTTTTACTATCAAAAATAGTGTACACACAGTATACTATGCTAAAAGTTATTTCCAGAAATGATCTGTAGAAGTCAGTGCCTTTGAAAAAATCTTAACCTTTCTGAGGTAACTAAGACACTGACTGCACTTATAAATTGCATTATTTTGCTACTTTTGGAAGCTGTTCTAAATTGTATCTGCTATTAATGATTTGTTTATATTCTTCTTGAAGTTACTGATGATTTAAAGACTTATCTAAAGCAATTTTTTTCTGGTTGAATTCAAAGCCCTTAAGTGTATTTTCTTGGATTTTCAGAAAGAGTTTTTATTCTGCATGCCAGTGCTGCAGTTGCAGGTTTTGATGAAGTTGTCGTGAAAGAGAATCAATTGTTTTGCTGATATCAGTCAATTATTTCTGCATTTCTGTTCCCCGCATATTTTGTGTTTCTCATCACAAGATCAGCCAATTTTGCTTTTAGGAGGTTTATTCTTTGTAAGTCTAGTAATACTTATCATTAATGATTCCATTGCTGTTTGAGGACTGGGAAAAGATTCTCTTGGAGACCTGTGTGCTGTTGCCTGCATCTTCCTGGGAGCCTCTTTGCCTACGTGGGGATAGAGGAAATTCAGAAACCCACCACAAAGGTCTCTTCATGAAACACAGGCCCCAAAGCAATTCTCAACAGAGGAAAGACTTTGCTCTAGAGGCTGTCTTATTCTTTTACATCTGGCAGTGAATATTTTGGCTTGTACCAAAAGCATTAATCTTCTTTGCGCAACATGGATCATCAGCTGAGAAAGGAATTTACGGTAGCCTCTGGAGAAAGTTTTCTGTCAGTGACAAAAGGCAAAGCAGCTGGACAGACAGACTGTGCTAAGACCGTTTGCTAAGCTCTAACTTAACACTGTCTCCATGACAGCCTTAGCTGGAGCAAATGTTCAGGTCCTACTGCTCAAACAACAGTGAGCAAAGGCAGAATGAAATAACACAATAAAAGCACCACAACTGCAAACCTGCATTTTACTTCCTGTAAAAACTTATACAAACCCTATTTTGAATTCTGTACTTGATAAAGCTGGGACAGCTGTTCCATCTGCAAAATAATTGGATCGAATAGGAAGAAGGAAATTTTGCTGGAGTGAAAACTAGACTTGCATTTTAGAGGCTGAAAAATCTAAGTACCTCAAAATACTGTATTTATCTCAGTTTCAAAACACAATGAATCAAACTGCTGACTTCAATGCATGCTTATGCCACAGAAGGTACAGAATTTCTACATTAATGAGGAAACTGGACTTTCATAGAAGTATATAAAGATGAGTTTATACAGCCTACTGAGTCAGTGATGCCTAACATGAGATATAACACTGCTTACAATAGTGAGACAAATATGTGAAACTTTGTGTTGGATGGAGGAATGATCAATGAGAAAGAATGATTGAGAGTCCACATTAAAATTTCAAATCACCCCAGTTTAGAAAAAAGTTCAGGAAATGTTCTGTCAAAGAGAAAATCAGAATGAGCACCCATTACATGGCAGATAAACCATCTCAAAGCAGGCATTTTACTTATTATAACCCATATAGAGTTACATCGATCCCATTAAAGTATTTCAGATAATGTCTGCTGCTTCATACACTGTACTGGTATTTTATTTTAGAGCAGCAGCTATATCCACTGGTTTGCAGGCAAGCTTATTTTCCAGCTGCTGGTGGAAAATATTTCTGCTGAACCTCCTGGTGTTTTTCCAGGCATCTTATTGCTAAGGCTAAGCCAAATGCATACTATCTACTACTTTGCCTTGCATTTAGCTGAGCCATTAAACATAGTATTACACTGTACTCTTGCAAACTTCACAGACTGAAGGATTTAAGATTAAATGATAGGCTTCTCTAGAAGCCTGAGAAAATTCTTGTAGACACATTGAAAACACTTATTTTCAACAGTCAACTAAGTATCAAGGCTACTTAATGATCAAATCAAGATCTGCAGACACCACAGCCTGCACACTCTTTCTTAGAAGATTTTAATCTTTGTCCTTGTCCTTCAGTGGAGTTTCTTTCCAGAGCATCTTGGCTTAATAAATGCCTTTGAAGAAGGCTTCAGCACAAATAAAAGAGTACTTGTGCAGCAATCTTGAGTTCTTATCAGCTGTATAGTGATCAGGTGAAGGAATAATTTATTTCAATCAGCAACACCTGTTTTTATAATTGCTCAAGTGATTATAATTCAATAATAAAAAGCCAATTTAACTATCTTTACTCAGATATTAACCTCTGATATACAGCATTAGAATGAAATTGCCATTGGTTAAATTCCCTTAACAATTGCTTTCACACATTTATCCTATTTTGGCCTGGTTTGTTTCATATTTCTCTTGTTATTTGAGTTTTCTTTTAAGAATAAATATGTTCACACATTCTCAGTTGGAAGACCCCCACTGCTATCCATTTTCAACCATAGCTAAATATGCTTAATCTCTAAAAAGGTTCAATTATTTTAATTTTTCTTCATAGCTATGTTTTTATGATTTGCCATTTTAAGACCAGCATTACATTTTAGACACATAATTCAACTGGTGATTTCCTATAATACCTAGATCCATTTCTGCAAACCCCTGCTTAGCCAGGTATTCTCCCTCCATTTTTTAATGCTCTTTTCCTTCCCAATCAATATAAATACTTGTGGTTGTTCTAAATGAACTGCAGCCAGTCTTTTTTTCTAGGCATTCCTCCATTTTGTCAAGATTGTTTGTACTCCAAGCCTGCATTTCTCCGTTTTTGCAGTAATTCCCAGTTTTGTGTTGTGTGTTTTTTAAGTTTGCAGGCTCTCCAGTTCATCTTCTATATCTCTAATAAAAATATTGAATACTAAGTGGTCCAAGAGATATTTACTGCAGATCTGTTCTTAGCACAGCTCATCATTCTACCTACAAAATTAATATTAACTACTTAACCACTAAGAAACCACATTTCCTTCTTTTTCTTTTTGAGTGAGATTTTTATTCTGAAAACATAAGCAAAGGTAAGTCTGTGATTTCATGCCACCACCACCTTCTCCCTTCAATAATTAAATGAGGAATCTGTATTTTTCTGTTTCTGGCATTTCCCTCTCTTCTTTGGGTTCTCAAAAATAACAAAAAATCTTTTTCTGACAGATGCTTGACCCAGAGTAGTCCAGAGTGGATGCTTTTTGGCTTAGCTGATCTGAAAATTATCAAATATATTCTGTCAAACCTGCTCTAGTAACCTGTTTTAGTCTTTGTATCAGATCTGTTAGCCATTGGCTTGCAGCTGTGAAGAGTAAAGAAAAAAAAAGACACAAGAAATGAAACATGCTGCTGTTCTCAGTCTCATTCACCCATTTCATTAAGTATTCTCCAGCAATCAGAGTGAAACTTTTCTGATCATCTGCTTTGCACTGATATAGTTCACAGAAAATATAACAAGACATTACTCATATCTCACATAGGCATTTCTAATTTTAACTGTATGAACTTAAACTATTTTTTTTATGGTTACTCTTACTAACCTGACCTGGCTTCTACCTTCTCTATGCTCTTTTTTTTTTTTAAATCTCTTTAACTTTTGTTCTCAACACGATGGAGAATGAAGTCACTCAGCTTGGCCACCCAGTACTGAAAGGCATACGGTGACAGCGTATTTTCCTCCTTTTGTTTCGTGATGAGAGACACCTTCATGCTGACAATGCATCCAACCAGGATTAGTGTTGTGTGATCCTACAGGAAAATCACAGTGTAGCCGATTTGCTCTGGCACCAGCCGGGAGGGGAGGAGCCCGGCCCCGGGGACATCCGCATCTCCATGGTGCCACCTTCTGACTGGCACGCAGGAGAGCCGGCTCCAGGGCTGGAGTATCCATGCTAGGGAAGGGGATCGGCCCCTTGGGAGCACGTCGGGCTGAGGATGGGGAGATGTGGGTGTGAGGGTTAAAAAGGGAGCCCTTGGGAGCACGATCTGGCATGCATGCAGTGTTCTGTGTGCTGCAAACAGAACAATCTGAGGGGTCTTCCAGCCTACTGGGCTCTAAGGCTCAAGCACTCTGCAAGTGCTGGTTGTCTAGTTTTTGTCGTGTTTGAATTACCAGAAATGAAAGAACTATCTGGAAAGTGAATATTTTAAAATATTTTAATTTTTTTTTCACAGGGGAAAAAAAAAAGCCCACCTCTTTTCATATCAGTTCCAGGTTAATTTACAGTATTATGACAGCAGGACTAATAGACTAAATTATCACTAATAGTTTTATTTTTAATGGGTGGAGAAATGGTAGAGTTGATATTGAAGACTGTCCCAGTGACTTACCACAGCTCCCAAGCACCTTATACAGAGATGAAAGCAGACACACCTCACTCTTTCATCAGTATGAAATGTATGTCTTGTGCTCTTGGCTTAATTTCTTTGTCCCTTTTCTCTTTTTATTTCCATTTATTTAACCTTACTTATAAGTCCACAGGAGACTGCAGACCTGGGATGTATATTACACACTGACTCAAATCCTTCCTTGGTACATGAGTCCTAGGAAGGGAAATACCACAAATACCTACTGACACAGGTATTGGAAACTAGGAGAGTCTATTAATTTTTCTTACATGGTGGAGTGCTCCTCTACATACCTGACCAAATGGGACTCAGAAATAGGGCCCTGCCCATTAATGGGTTCTCTTGCTTATTGATGACTCAAAACTTAAAGGCAGCTATGCTGAAGATGTATAAGGAAAATATAACCTGTCTCAGTCTACCTTGACATCTAATACTCCTCAAATGTTAGAGTTACTGGACTAACTTTAGGAAAAAACATTAGGGTATTATACCTCTATCACGTCTAATGTTTTGCTGAGAAGCTTAAAAATAATTGAAAGTATAAAAATGAACAGATATGTCCATAAGATAGCATGGGGAAAAGAATTTCATGGAAGTTACTTTTCAGAGAAACTGTTCCTCTTCATAGTGGGGCTTTCTTAACTCTTCTGAAATGAATTAAAGAATATTTGAATTACAAAGCTGAATGAATTAAAGAAAAATTCCTCACATTGTATGCTGTAAAAGATAATTTTCCTCTGACCTTTCTCTTATAAAGTTTAGTTACAAATGGCTTGCTTTGAGAAGCTGATACCTGATACTCTAGATGTCAATTGTTTTGTTTTGTTCTGACGTTTCAAATAATTGTGTATTGTTGCCCATTCTGAGGGTGTAATGCTTACAAGGCACAAGGCTTAAAGAAACCAGGGGGCTTGGGCTCTCTGTCCAACAAAACAGTGCTGCAGGGAGAGCAGCCTAGCAGTAAGCAGCCTTGGCAAATTCTAGGAAATTAAAGCTATTCAAGAGGCTTTTCTTTTTGTTCGTTTGCCTAGTTTTAAAATGATATTCTCAGTGGAGATATCTGGAACACTGCCTGTTTGCATCTACATGAGGCAAAAATTCTGTCATATTATTTCAACAGAGCTGAATCTGATTGAACAGGAAAGGTACTCTTTGGTGTATGACTTAATGAAATATATTTGTTTTTTGTGGCTATGTCTATATTGTCTTCCCCTCCATAGAGAGCTGTCCAAAGCTGCCATTTTGGGAATATTGCAACACATTATTTTGGAGCACATAAAGAATATATTTTCTATCCTATGGCATTGTGGGGTTTTTTTTGTTGTTTTCTCAAGGTCAGTTGCTAACTTTGCTCAGTAATAGATCAGTGAAAGTGCATGAACAGGGTGCATAGCAAAACATTCCAGCACAGTTTACTTACATAAGGTTTCTTTGTCCTACAGTCAATCTGTAAAGAAAGAGAATATGGCTCATTATGAAGGTAAATAGAGATGATTTCGTGGTTCCCAAAAATATGATTTTTACAATGCGTGTTTTTTTTCTTGAAGAGAGTGCCAAGGTCTTCGGCAAAAATACATTTGTAAGCTTCTCTTAAAGAATAAGTAAAGAAATCAACCCAGAAATACTGTTGTTTCTGTTCAAAAACTTGCTGAGTTTTCCAGGTCACAGAAGACCATTTCCTGTCAGTACAAGAAGAGAGCAAAACCACTGATTTGTTTATGGGTGAATAAAAATACTATGGCTGTAAAGTGCTTTGCTTGTGGCGAGGGGGAGAATGGGGGAAGTCCAGGAGTTGCTGGGGATTTTTTCTCCTTCTGAAATAAAATCATGGTACTTATGTTCTTGTTTCACCAGCAAGTAGCTGCCTTTAGTAGACCTTCAGGTTTTGGAATAAAATCCTGCTTTAATAACTGTTACTTGTCCACAGTAACAAAGCCCGTTCCAGAAGCAATTATTTATAACCAGACTTAGACTTCATTTGCTGAGGACTGAGCTGTCTCTTTGACTTCCCTAACGAGAGAAAACATAAAATCTTGAGCTTCAGATTCCTTCACATGCAGATTAGGGGACAATTGTCACCTTTGGGATTTGCAGATGGCTCCTGGGAAAGACCAAGTGCTTTGGTTTTAGGAAGCTGCGTTTCCCGGTTTTAAGAAGCTTCACAGTTTTCATCTGTTGATGGAGGGAGAGTAGAAATCAGCTGGCTGTATGGGTATGCCTGGAACCTTTCCTTTTCCCATCACATATAGGATACTGGTTTAGTTGTGTACATTTTGGAAGGACTAGACCTGCTTGATAATATGTCCCTGTAAAAATCAAAGTAAAATATACTGGTCCTAAATAGGGCATTGATATAGCAATTGTAATCTGAAATAAGACATCAGTCTGAGTCAGTTTGTGAGGTTTTGTGCATGAATTAAAAAGAAACAAAAAAAGCTGAGATCCAGGAATGATTAATGGAAGTTAATCCAGAAATGTTGCCTTGCAGCATTCGAAGCAAGAAGAGAGGACTGATTCAGCCTCTGCAGTTTTGTATGCAAATTGCTCTTGCAAAGGAAGGGAGATTGCTTTTGACAACTTGACTCTAGCAGTGCTGCAAGGCACCTAGAATGGTCCTACTTTCTATTTCCTTATATTCCTTGAGGTGTTGATAATGAAAGACTCATGCCCAAACTGAATGCAGCTCATGTTGACAGAGACAGCAAATACACATGGTAGCTTTCAAATTTCTCTGTCAAATCGTTTGACTTTTTTTCATGCCTTTTCCATAGGGCAAACTGTGAAACAACATATAATTTCTGTCACCTGAGATTTCAGCAGTGAGGTTACAAAAAATGTGCAAGTCTCCAGAAAAACATTAAAAAAATGGTGTTTGAATGATCTTTGAACTCTCTTTAAGCTTCAAAGGAACTGCCACACTTTCTCTGTAACCTCAGTAATTGCTGATTAAAAAAAATAAAAAAGCAGATTTGAGAAAGAAATCATGCAATCTAGAAACATACTTTCCATCTGTGTATTGCGGCTGAAATCCAAAATAGGCCAGCTGGTCATAGCACAGCTCACATATTCACAGTATCTGTCCTCTGAATAAGTCATTTCATCATAAACAGTGGAAAGTAAAAAGCAGAGTCTTAGCTTCTCTGATTTTTTCCCCCTCTATTTGACACTCAAAGGACTGGCAGATACTAAAAGATTCCTCTCTGATGTTAAATTTGATATTGTCATTGCATTTTATTTGCTGCTCAAATATGTCTTTTTAAAACTGTGTGATCCAGGATGTGGAGTGGAATGTTTGTTGTGGCAAATGCCTCTCTTCATTGGAGCAGTTTGGTCTGGCACTGCTCCCAGTTGCTGTAGATTTAGCAAGTAAGTTGTGCACAAATCCTTGATTTTTGTTCTTGCTTTTTGTGGCACTCTTCATCTTAAGAACTCCTGCAGTTTTTGGAACTAGGATGTAGTGTCTTTCAGTACCTACATTTTATATCTAATCAACAGGAACTGATCCTAGCAAACTAGAAAATCCTCCTTAAGCAATGGGAAATCTCTCCTTTATTTCCCTCCTCATTATTGATTTTGCTATGGGGAGCAGACACTGTGCTCAGGTGTTGCAACCTTCCCTGCTCCTTCCCTGGGCTGGGATGGTTTGAACCGGTGATTTTCACTCTGTGCTGAAGGCTTTTAGATAAAAAAATAGAGATGATGTGTCAGGTGGGGGAGGAGGGATGAAAGGTAAAAACTGTTGTAGTACTGCAGGATCATAAAAGGGAAGTTAGTCACAGTAGTTTTTTGAAGAGATCTAAATCAGTTTTGACCAGACACAATGGATAGAGAGTCAGTGACCAAGCTCTATCTGAAATATAACCAGTCAAGGAAAATTACGCCTGAACTTAGATTCTGATGCATAACCATTTTTTCTGATTTTACATTCTTCAAGTGTGAATCATCTGGACATACTGTGTTTAAAGTGCTTTCTCTACCTAATGGCCAAACTTTTGGCTACTTCAGTGACGAAAAGCATGAAGCTGCAGTCTGCAGCAAATGGATATTAGGTTGGGAGTGGGAACATATGCAAAAGAATGCCTACTTTCACAAAAGTAATCAAACCTTACTGCATGTATAGTGCACTTTCCATGCACCCATACTACAGCTCCATGCCTAAATAACTACAGGCACAGCCTTACCCTGGGCTCTCAGAAGAACACTATTATGCTTTGTAATTGCACCTGTGTGTTTATAGGATTCCTTCTGCTCATTAAAAATGGTGTTCACTCTAATTGTATGGCCTTTTCTGTACTCTATAAAGGACATCAACTTGTTCCATTAACTTTTTTTTCCCTTTTAATAAGAGAATGTCTCCTTCAGTGATTAATTGCAAAAATGCATTTATTTGATGCAGATTTACTGGCATTACAGAATCACTTAGGAAGAGCAGAACCTCTGGAGGTCTCTAGTCCAATATCCAACTTTAGCAGGACTGTCTCCAAAAATAGAGCAGGTTGTTTAGGGCCTTGTCTAGTGAGTATTGGAATATCTCCAAGGATTAGGGTTCTGCATCCTTTCTAGGCTACTTGATCCTGTGCTTGACTCTTCTCACCATGCAGACTTTTTTTTCTTAAATCTACTTGAGATTTCCCTTGTTGCAACTGGTGTCCATTGCTTTTTGTCTCATTACTATGCATCTTCAAAAAGAGTCTGTTTTCTCTATAACAACCCATTACTTATTTCTGCTGCAATTGTTTACAGAGCTGCATGAATGGCTGCTGAAGAGAGACAGATACTCTGAAAAGCTGTCAGCCTGAAGTAAATAAAATCAGAACCTGATGGGCAGAGGCTTCTGCAGGTCAAGAAAGAGGTCCAGCTGGTCTGAGCAGCCAAATGAAGTGCTGATGGTCTTACCTGGGAATCCAAAAATAAGGGTGGTATAACTACCAAAATGCTTCTCTATGGCTCTGCTTGCTCACAATTAGACAAAATATCCCCTAGTACTTGTTGTGTGAGAATTGTCTCACTAGAGCACATAGTATTTTTTCCAAAAGGTAGCAAATGGTAGCTTGGAAAAACTTGGTCCTTAATGAACCCTCAAGGCTCGTTATGAACCTTCATAATGAAGGTCTTACTGGGAGGCTAGAAGGGCTCCTTCTCCTCTGTGTGGTTTTGGGTGGGTTTTTCCTTAGTGAAAATAAATGCAATTGTTTTAAACAATTGGAAATGTGTGTGAGCCGTGCCTGTCTATTTCATTTGTTCTTAACCCATGGTGGACACACCGGAGCACATCCTGCTCACTACACTGCTCACTGCACCTGGGCAGGCATGTCCTGTGCTAGTTCTAACGTGAAAACTAGAGAAGAGTGCAAGTCCCTCCTTTGGGCTTTAAACCTCCTTGTGGTACAAAGTTTCACACAGAATTGGTATTAGCACTGGACAACTGATCCCTGAGATAAGGTCTGAGGTCTGAGTCTCTCTGGAATGCAGGCGGAACAGAGGTCTCTGTGCATTCTCCCCTATCTCTGGTCTCAGTCTCTGCAGTCTGGCTCACACTGGATGTTCCTTCCTCATTCATACCTCCATGGCAAGATATGTGCTACATGCACCTCCTAGACCAGCACCAGAATGAGCAGCTCTGTGCAAATGCATTTCACATCTTTCGAACTCCCAATGAGATCAGGTGGCGTATTCAAGCAAAGTTGGCAGTCTTTTCATATTTACTTGGATGATAATACCTACAATAGATTCTGCTTCCTATCCCAGAAGTTGTTTGTTCAAATCTGGTTGTGTGTTAGTGCTCAGGCACAAACAATTGCTGCCATTCATGCAGGATTAGGTGTGGTTTATATCCTTCCAGATTTGTTTATTTGTGGTGTGGTTCCATCCTTAGAGATGCCCATTTACTGAGGTCTGTGCTTAATTCTTTACCTCTTTACCTACCCATATACTTAACTTCACTCAGTTAAGTAATACTGTTGAAGTTTAGCATGAATCTCTAGATTGAGGTCTGCCTCTGCATTAACTTACTGTAATGAAAATGTAAAATAACCAGAGCAAACCCCTATTCTAACTACATACACAATCAAATATGCCCTCAAGTAATTGGATCTGTAGAATAGAAAGCAAAACATTGCAAATGGTACTGGTTTGCAGTAGTTCATAATCCTTTAAGCATATAAATCCACCAGACAGCTTAGAAGTGCAATTTCTGCCATCAGCTATGTTGAAAATGCACTTGCATACTTAGGACTAAACTATGGCATCAAGCAACAAGCCACGCTCCAGGGACGGCGTGGAGCCCCTATCGCTCCCGTGCCAGTCCTGGGAGTTGTCACGTCTTGGGGAGGCACAGTGCCTGCAGAGCTGCTCTTGCATCACTATTAATTAGGGCTTGGTTTGCACTCCTTTCTGCATCTTGTCAGCTTCCGTGGCCGGTGTGAGGGGCGCGATAGCCTCGTCCCCTCACGAGTGCTGCGAGAGCTGCTGCAGCGGGTCACGGCCGGGGGCAGCCTGCCCAACGCGCCTCTTCTGACAGTGGCCTGCAGCAGAGGTTTAGAGAAAGAGGAGCAGAGCGAGGCAATTACAGAGATACTTTTCAGTGGTTTGCCGGGAAACCAGGAATGTGGAGGCTTCTTGAGCCAGATATTGTCTCCCTGCTTTAGCATATGATAGCTGCACAGGCTGCCAGTGAACTTGTTTTAATCTTCCTTTGAATTATTTTTTTTAATTCCTGCCTCTCCAATATCCAATGGCAATACATTCCATAATGATTCTCTGATGTGTGAAACACTCATTTCTTCTGCTTCTTCTGCCTTTAACCTACCACCTGCTAAATGTAATGTGTAATTTCCCCCATGGTCACCTTCCCATTCTTGCACTTTGAGAAAAAAGATACTGGACCCTGGTGGGCAGCAACATTTTTACTTGGCAACATTCCACTTTTCCTGTCCACTTGTTTGTACAAGGGGTACAAGTGGGGAAAAGATGTTTTTGTGCCCAAGTTGAACACAAATGGTTGAAAATGAAAAGAATGCGATCCGACAGACACCCTCAACAATGACAACGTATTTAGGAGTGGAGAAGAGAGTGGAGAGTGGAGTGGGGAAGGCTCACCTCTGTAGCTTCATGCCACAGAAGCAAAGATCAGGGCAGAGATCCCTTTCTGCAGCAAACAGCTTTCACTGACAGCAAAGCCTGTTTCTAACAGTAGAATGTGGAGGGGATGTTTTCCCTTTAAGAAATATCTATTCAAGTTAATTGAAACATCTGTGTAAAATTCATTACATTGTTTTCTTTCAAAAAGAAATGACAGTTCAGTTCAAAGCTTTTGAATTATACTTAGATTTTTCTTTAGACAAATGGTTTTTTTCATTTAAAAATTAAGTTTACTAGGGTTTAATTTTAAAGAAAACAAAAGAAATGAAGAAAAATGCAGGGAGAGTGAGAAAGCCTGTCTTCCCCTCCATTGTGAACTGCTCCTGATAAAAAATGCTCCTCATCAAAATAACAAGTCCCCTCCACCTTCTCTGATATGAAGGATTAGACCGGCTAGAGAAGTGCTAGATACTTTGTCTTTAAAATTGTCTTTGTCAGGCTGTGTGTGCTATGCAATCCAGACCTGGTGACTGATAATTATGATTAAAGTTACATTTTACTGTATTTACATATTTTAAATTAGATTCCAGGTAGCGAATTATAAGAGAACCAAAGAAGAATATTTACAAAACAGCATTTCATTCTTCCCTCCCTTTTATGCTTTATTTGGTGAGAATTTTCCACAGAGGAATCAGGATTTTTAACCTATCAATTCTAACAGTTGTAAACTGAAAAACAAGCAGAATTTAACACATAAACATCTGCATTTTTTAAAATATCTCAGATATGGAAAATCTCCCATTCATTGGCCTAGCAGATGTTGAAATCAAAATAGATTTCTCTATTATTCTTAGAGGAGACCAAAATGTGAGCTGATTCTGAAAGAGTGACTGAACAATGATCCCTATCTCCCCACAGTATATGAAAAGATACTGCAAAAATTAATGTCCTCCAAGGCCTTATTTGACAGTTCTACCTCTTATTTGCTTACTTAACTCTAGGACAGGCACAGTGAAGTAAAATAGGTGTTAGTACTGCTGGCAGACTAATGGAGACTTTGCAGGTGTAGGAAATAGATACTGAGAAGCAATGACTGAATATTCTTGTTAATGCTCTCTCTAGCAATGGATTAGTATTTATTTTAGGAAATGTCTGAAATATATGTAATATCAATAAACCTCAAAGAAGTGTTCTTCTGTAAGTCGGTGCAATTGCCAAAAGACTACTACTACGTAAATGAAAATCTGCTGATTGTTTAGTGTTGCCAAATGTTTAACTGGCCTCTGAAACTTGGCATACACAATGAAAATTAGTTACCAAATGGATAAAACAATAGAGACTACCCAGGAAATGCGCTCTTGAGTGGTGTGCTGAGATGGATGGAGTGCTCTGCCGCCTTTGCCTCCTGCTGCATGGGTCGGGTGAGCCCCTGGTGAGATGCCCAGAACACGAAGGCTGCTGTGGGAGGTGCAGAAAGCTGGGCAGCCTGGGACAGCAGATGCAGCTCAATGCTCAGGGCTTGCTGAAGGAGCACACAGAGAAGGTATGGCAGCTGTAACAGCACTATATTTTTCATCATGGGAGGCCACCTTATGCCTCTGATCTACTAATCTCAGCAGAGAAGGTCAGGGGGTGATTGGGAGTACTTGATAGAAATACTTGTGTCCAGCACAGTGTCTTGCTCTTGGAAGGTGTCAGTCTTTGATGGCTTCTGAATGGTAGTCTGAACTCAGGTTCTTTTGTCAGATGTCCAGAGCTAGACAGGATAATTCTGTGTCAAACGATGAGACTGGGTCTACATGTGGCTCTCTGGCTCCAGTCAATCCCACATGGTCCCAGATGAATATAAAGAAATTCCCTTTGGCATCTTCCAGCATGAGAGAACTAAAATTAATTTTAAAAAAAGGTGCAACAGAAAGGCACATTTTTTTCCCCTGGCTTAAATGAGGACCTAGATGACTGGTTTGGGTGTGTCTGCAATGTAAAAATACCTGCTAGTTAGGTGAGATTAGGAGGCCATTTACAGTGTCTGTGGATTGTAGCCATTGTGAGCTTCTGAATGCACACACCATTCTGGCTTTGTGTCAAAGATCTGGCATGACGTTGCTCTAAGGGGAAAAATGTTCATGCTTGGTTTCTTTGATCCAGATGTGGAAAGCTCAGTGCAGGAACCAAGCCTGGCAGCAGCAAAAGGTTGGGCTCACAGCAATACTTCCACTTGGCTACATTTGACCTTCCAAATGTCGCTCTTTCATTATACCTACAAATTATATAGGTATTGCAGGTATTATGTTGCTAGTCAGAGTATTACAGCTTTAAGGGTGCATCCACAGAAATGGAACAGAAGCAGTAATGATGGTAAACAACTCCAATATTCATTGTTTACACAGATTTTGTTCTTAAATGCCAGAAAAGAAGTGTGGGATTTTAGGGACTTGCTGGAACTTATTCCTTGCATCATTCACTTTGACTTTTCTAGGTGGAATTACCTCATAACGTGCTGAATTCCCACAGGGTCATAGTTGTTTTCTGATAAATGACCACTGGAGTGAGCACTGAATATGCAATTTCCAAGTTACTATCCAAACATGTAGTAAAAACCATTTATAAAATCCTTCCTTATCTTCAGCACAGCCTTTTGTACAGCTCTGCAGGATGAAGTAAGCTTCTCAAGTTGACAACGTCCTTTAGAAGAAAAAAATATACTATTGCTCCCCTTGCAAAAAAAAAAGTTCATTACAATCTCTGAAGTATTAATGAAATAACCTAATCTGGCAATAATTAAGCTTCTCCACAACTTTTCTAATCACTGATTTTATTGTGATTAAGGATGGATACCATGCGCCTGATAACACGTTTGCATGTGTTCAGCCAGGAGATGTTTCATGCTGATCTCAAGCAGCCACTACCTCAAGAACACTGGAATTCCAAGTGGATGATTTTAAATACAATTTATCTGCTCACAGCCTACGTACAAAACTGTCCCCAAGGTCTTTCTAAACTGCCCTGTGGTTATGCCCCAAAATATATTTCATGCACCAAATGCAATTCAAATATGCCCAAAAGGACTTGAAGACCAAGATGTGAGTTCTGATTGAA